GCACATTTATAGACTGCCGACCTGTCCAGGGTGTCTCCTGCCTTCGCCTTAAGTCGACTGGGAGAGGCTCCAGCGCCCAGAGTGAGGATTAAACGCTTTATAGGATAAGCTACAACATTAAAACCACCTGCCTAATGCTGTGTAACTCCGCCTCATGTCACCCAGAACAGCTCTGAACTGCTGGGGTATGTACATTAACGGTGTTCTGTGGTTTGTAGCACATGGATGTTGGCAGCATCCCAACATCCCAGTGTGTGTGTATGTATACACACACACACACACACATACACACACATGATGTTGTATATCCACCTTTATTTTTGCTGACAAATTCAGTCCTCATCAGTAGTGAGTCTACCAGTGTTCCACACATCTGAGAGAGTGACGGATGTTCTGCTCTTCTTCAGAGAGATTTTTTTTTCTGCTGCTCTTTGTGCTCTTTGCTGAAGGGGTTGTGTTACTTCACCATTCTCTTTTAAAATCCTCTGAAGGTGTTCTGTTGGACTGAAGGTAGCAAACATACTTGGCCAGGTCATAATTTTCACTTTTTCTTCTTTTGAAACTCTTGCGTGATATCAGGACACTACTTCTGATTGCTGCCACCATGCTGGAATATTTCTCTTCTGCCAATCTCTGTAGACTGGCAATCCTCTTGTCCTCTTAATTTTCAGTGATGGAATGACTGAAACACATGCATTTCTATCACAAATTTTAAAAAAACAATCATGCTTTTTGTTTTTTTCACAGATTTATGACAGGTTTTCTAAAAACGTGACAAAATCTGGGTCAAAAATATACATTCAGCAGCTTGAATTGCTAACTTTGTTGATGTAGAAGGCTGTTCTAATCTCATTTTCTTCGTGGCATGGTTTTTTAGCCTCAGCTGCTGACTTCTTTTAGCCCATTTGATACACTTATTAGACTTAACCGCAAACATGACAGTAGGGAAGCTCAGCAAAGACTTGAAAAACAAAAAGAAAGTCACTTGGAGCCAATTAAGTGCTTTTAAGTACAGAGTGCATGGTACATTCATGTCACTCCCACGACCAGGAAGAAAACACAAGCTATCACCTGCTGCTGAGAGACAATTGGTCAGGATGGTCAGGAGTCAGAGTCACTCAAAACATTTTTTAAAATGATGTAGTCGGCTAGCGTCAGCAGAGCGGAGGGTGCAGGAGAGAGTCTGCAAACGAAGGAGTTCAGTCAGGTAGGGGGGGAGCCAGCTTGTAGTGTGATGAAAGGGATTTACTGGGGGACGGGGGGAGGCAGTGGAGGTTTGCAAGGATGGGTGTGGGAGTGGATGAGCAGGCGGGCAGCAGAATTATGGATGTATTGCAGTTTCTAACAACTACAGAAAGTTGGTGTTGTGCACGCTATCACAGCAGATAAACAGTCTGGGTTCATATGCTGCTACAACATCCTCCTGCAAGCTCCTAAATGTTAGCAGCAGAAACACAGAGCTAGATAAAACACAACAGCAACAGTGTTCTCCTTTCTGGTTTATATTTCTGTGTTTTCTTTAGCTACTTTACTGTGAGGATAGCAGGAGTCTTGTAGTGTTTTGTGGCAGCATTTGCTAAATTAGAGCATTCGTTACAAAACTGTCACATAGATTGTGCATTTCACCTGCAAATCAAGCAGCTCAGCAACAGCTTGTACTCAGGATCCAACTCAAGTGTCAACCATAGCAACAGTTACAATCATCCTTCTATTTTCTTGTATGGCCATCGATACTGTCTGCCTCAGGACCACTGAGGGTCTTATGAGCTGCTGCTTATTCAGTCTGCATCCTGTTATTATGTAACACACACGTATACACACACACACAAGCCTATATTGACTAATGAAGTTGTTTGGAAGTGTTCTCGGATCGTGAGCCATGCAACCATTTTTTACATGTAATGCATCGTATTTGACCTCGCAGGTCCTCGGCAGAGCGCGGGATACTGGCTCGTATGTTCAGGTGGTTGATATTTTAGTGATTAAAGTTTACTAAACATTGAGAAAAAGGAGGGAGGGCACCTTGTGTTCATCAGTTTTATAGTTGCCTAAGTTTAGATCTTGGCTCACAGATGCCTTCTCAAGTAACAAGGCTGCTGGCTCACTTGAGCCATACCACAATCCAGAAAGAGAGCTCCACACTGAGCTTTAAAGGGGGACAAGCACAGAAAAAGTGGCAAGTCACAGGAAAAATTTAAGACAGAGGAGGGGCTGTTAACATCAGACACTGTCACTAAGGAGACATTTCAAACAGGAGGCACAGAGGAGACGTAGGGCAGGAACTGGACTATTCTTGCTGGAAAGAGTTCTTCACCACAGTTCTGTTTTACAACTGGACAATGACAGAGGAAGCAGAAGCGGGAATCAACCTACAGCCACACTCTGGATCTGAGCAACAGGCTCCGCAGTTTCTACGAGATGTCATCTTCCACGGCAAGTTCAAGGTGAGGGTCTTTACGAGAGACGAAAGAGCGCACAGCAATACTGACAAGCTAGGACAAGGAAAGATAAGGCAAGAGCCACCGAAATGCATTTTATAATGTCCAGATATAAAGGTATGGTCTGTCCACGGACAACATGTTAGAGTTGACACTATTACAAGAAGCATTTTGGTTTAAAATGGGATTGTTCAACATATTTATTTTATTGTAAGTTGAGAGTAAAAACAGATGATTTGCATTGTTTCAACACGACATGAACAGGTACGTTAGTTTGACCTAACTATTAAACCTCAGACGCCTCCAAAAGAGATGTTTGCCTACAGAATGTTAAACACACAAAACTAAACTCATCAAGAACCGTAGTGGACGTCCCAAAGATGTAAGTGATAAATATGTCAAGCTGATATTTGGGGGGAAAAATGATTCCCAAGACATAAGATAGATCCCTCTATTCAGCTGCAGTGGCATTTGTGTGACCATTAAAACTACTAAATTTCAGTACTTTTACATCACTACTGTGTTAATTAAAAACAACAATCTGCTTTAATTCTGCTTTTTATCCAGAGAGGATTTAACTGCGGTTTTGCTCACGTGCAAAGAGTAAACTTGAACTAATTTAGTAACTGATTTCCTGGACTTTGTGACCTCAATCCATTAGAAGATCAAAACAAAGTTTAATCTACTTATTGACAGTGCAATTCATATCGCATTGAACTGCTTCATTGTATGAAATCTCCTAAAAGCAGAACTGAATCAGATCTGCAGGAAAAGAAGTGACATTCTTTCATGAGGCATCTGTATACACAGGTTTTATTTTTCTTTTTTTCCTGCTTCATCTTATCTTTTGATTTTTATTCCCAAATATTTCAAGGCAAAAAAAATTCACACGGCATCAGGGCCGCTTTTGAATAACACAACTCTTTAGTAGAGAGAGCTACCTGGTTCTCCTCTCCCTAGTCATGAAGTGATATTCTGAGCCTTAAAACTCACAAGAGTAAAAGAACAGAGCAGCTTGACGAAAACTCCTTGAAGTCAGAATAATAAAGTAAAAGTCTTTGGTCAGTTTTTATTAGTTTCCAGCATAATATATCCACTGTATACTGTGGCTGTACTGTTGCTGAAAAAGGTATGAAATTGTACAAAAAATAATTAGGAAAGAAAAACACTTTACAGAAATGGAAAACATAAACTGCTGTAGATGTTTGTCTAATAAAATACTGCCTTCCACATAACTAATCATTTACAAATATAATAAATAAAAATAATAATCTTGTTTTTTTCAATAACATGATCTCCATCCCATGAAACTTGTTCAATCCCACAAAAGCTCACGATCTTACTAAATCTGACTAAAATGTTCTGCTACTGCCTAATAGTGGGCAGGCTGGCCTATACACAGGGCCTATATAAAAATAAAATACTGACACCCTTTGGAAAATTTCCCCTTTTATTGTTTTTGACATTAAATCAATATAATTTGGCTTTTTGGACAAGAATTTACAAAACAAAAGTCTTAAAATGTAAAATAAGTGACTGTATAAGTATTCAACCTGTTTAAAGTGACTCACCTAATTCAACACAGGTGCAAGCAGTTAGTGTTAGAAGTCACACAATTAGTGAAATGAGATAATCTGAGTGCAGTGACTGTGTCTCAGATTAAACATGACCTCATTTTTGTCAAGGTTGAACATTTATTTTAAAAGCCCATGTGTTAACTAACATAGGAGTACAAATAAATGTAGTAAATAAGTCTGATAACACTGTAGAATTTAAAATCCTCCCTATTTTTTTTTTTTCATCTTGACAAAGTGTCCCGGACACTTTGGCAGTCCTTCCAAAAGTCACGCACTTATTTTGTATTTTCTCTTCAGTGTAGTTTGATCTGTAGACGTGTTCTCTTAGATCTGCAGCCAGAGGTTATGAGCTTTATAAGGAGAAACACTGTGATAGGCTCAGGTCATGACACAGCTCATAATTCACATACTATTTATGTCTCATATAGAATTTTCTTGGAAGCACTACAGTGGAAGTAGCAGCTGCCACCCGTACTATTGCATACAACTGGTTTTGCTGACATGATGATGCTCTGTTGTGTCGCCCTCGATTTCTATGAACTGTCAATATGATAAGTTAAAGTTTGAATATTTTTCTTGGTTTCTTGGAGACTGAGGTCATGGTGCTAACAGCCAGTCAGGCTGGCATGGTAATAATGGAAAGCACTTTGGTGGAAGCTGCAATCCACTGGAGTTTGACATTGTTAAAGTTCTTGACTGTAGCAGAAAAGGGCCATATAAGTGCAGACAATTTACTGTTTATGCATTAGTCGCAGTTTTACCTTAAATTGTTTTTGGATAATGTAAGATATCTCTCATTTGATGATGATTAATGTCTGTTATTGCGGTATCCGACGCAATTTTGCTCGGATCCACATATGACAGGAGCAATTCAAGTTCTGACGCGTAGGGAGTTATTCTTCGTTCTGTTTATTATATTCAAAAAGAAAGATTTCATAATGTTTGTATCAGACTACGGTCAAAAAACTGGTGTCCTACCACTCCTGCCAGCTCATTCCCATCACCTGTCTTCTGTGAGTAAATCAGGCTCACAAAAAAGGTGGAGCTGGCGAACACCCATTCAGTGCCCAACACCAAGCACCTGGTGACAATCTATCCATCCATCAGACATCTGGATCAAATCATAAAGAGCTGAAAATGGTTCCAACATCTGTTGCTGTGCTGTTGAAGTGGTTTTATTCTGTGATCCTTGTGCTTTTCAATGTTGTTTGTATTTTGTTCCATGTTCAGTATAATTGGGCTTGTAAAGCTACAGTGCTGTTCTTAGGTGTGTGTACTCAAAGGTTTGTGCTGTCGTGGGAGTTGCCCACGAGTGTTTTACAATATCCTGTGTTTTTCATGTTCCATAAAGTAGCTGTTCATGCAGTGGAGTGGAAAAACCAGTGCTCCCCACAATGACTCAGACCCTGAAAAGTACAGTACTGTGCCAAACATGGATTGCATAGCTAGTTCCAGTGAGCCAGCCAAAAACAGACAGCCTACTACAAGACTGAATGTAGAACTCAGCATACATGTCAGAGCAGATCTGTGTATATGAGGATTGACAAACCCTCTATAACAGAGGTTCCCTGAATAGAGGTTTTTTAAGTTCGATGTGGTGCCGTAGGCTGTTGACATTTTGGCAGCGTCTGACCCCATTTAACTCCGGGCGATCCAAAAGAGATCAAAGACACTGAGTGGGAGTGGGAACCATACAAACATTTCCGGGCTATGGGCTGTCCTCAGATTGCACTCATCTATCACGATCAGTGGTCATCCCCTGACTTTTTTTCTTAATAAAATCTTAACAAGCGTTATATAAAAATGATCTCCCATACAGCTGTCATTACAAATCCAATGGGAATCAACTTGCTTTTGGAGCTGGCCTCAAATATCCTCCATGGCACCTCCATGTGGGCTTTATTTATGAGCCCTGGAGGTTCCTGCTTGGTTAAAAAATGATAGGTTGATAGGGATGAATTTCACCATCGTTATTAACATTAGATAATTGCAATTATGCAATAATGCAATTACATTCATCATTTGTGTGATACAAAGTAAAAAATCAGTTGCAAAATGTAATATGAAACAACGATATAAAGATCAACCTCAGCAAAGAGCTCAGAGAGCTAAAGGAGGTATGGCCACAGTTGTAGTGGTTTAGGTATAGCATTTGATGTAGTGCCACAAGGCTTGAGTGTCGTCTACCCTCAGCATTTATAGACTCTGGATCTCTAACAGCATTAACTGTTCAGTTACTATTTTAAATTTTGAGTCTTGGGTATCATACACCTTTCATACTACACGAATGTAAAGTGCACTTAAAAGTGTTATATGCTCAGAAATGCCCGTCAAAGCAGTCGGTAGTTAGCACTGTTGCCCTGCAGCTAGAAGAACCCCGGTTCGCGTCCCGGTTTGGACTTCTGGGATCTTTCTGCTTGGAGTTTGCATGTTCTCCCCATGCAGCGTGGGTTCTCTCCAGGCTTAATTGGTGATTCTAAATTGTCCGTAGGTGTGAATGTGAGTGTGCTTGGTTCTAAGTGTCACCCTGTGATAGACTGGTGACCTGTCCAGGGTGTCTCCTGCCTTCACCCTAAGTCAGCTGGGATAGACTCCAACCCCCCGTGACCCTAATGAGGATTAAGCGGTGTATAGATGATGGATGGACGTTATGAACAGCGATTCTGTTTGGTAATGTTAATGTACACTTACCCACCTGGTCCACTCTGTGTGCTTCTCTGTGACATAAGCTAAACATCTAGCTGGCTAGCTCATCATATCAGAAAAAACAAAAAAGAAATCCAACAACTAAAAAACAAAAGAGTGTGTCTTTGGGTCACTTTGGGTCCCAAGGCCAGGTAAAGGAGGAGGGTTGGATGTAAAGCTGCCAGTTTCACCCCACATTACAGTCGTTTGGTTAAATTTCTAACATTTAACAATACAATACAAAATGGATTTATTTAATGTGGGTCTAGACAAAGCAGTAGTCATGAAGTTATTGTGAGAAGTGATGGCCTGTTTCAGTGGCAAACTTTTAAAAAACAAACCAAGAATCAACAGATGACAGTTCATTTGTAATTTTAGACATATTTAGGGTGTCCCACGACATTATTCCTCTCTCCTACAGCGTCCATTACAATTACATGCAAATAACAATTATGCAAATTATGTGATGATGTCATTGAGTTACTTCTAGCGATTTTTAGGACAGCCAATACCTACTTTCCATTCAGTACTTCAGTTGGCAGCACTGAGTGCATCTGGCCTGTAATCATTTAGGCTGTCTTATTAGGGACAGGAATGATGGTGAATTGCTTGAGGCAGAATGGGATGGTGGCTTGTGCCAGGGAAAGATTAAATATTGTTGTGAAGAGATGATGTGTCCTGGCTGAAGTCTTTTCTGCCGTGACATCAAAGAGGTGAGATGCACAGCTAGAATATACAAGCTAT